TTATTTCTTTATTTGAAATTTCATTGTTAGTATATAGGAATGCAATGAATGGATTTTAGTATGTTGATTTTGTAGCCAGCAACTTTATTGTATTCATTTATTGTTTCTAATAGCTTTTTGGTGGAATCTTTAGGGTTTCCTATGTAAAGAATCATGTTATCTGCAAAAAGAGACAATTTAACTTCTTCATTCCCAATTTGGATGCCTTTTGTTTCTTTCTCTTGCCTGATCTGGCTAGGACTTCCAATACTATGTCGAATAACAGTGGCGATATGGGAAAACCCTGTCTTATTCCTGAACATGGAGCAAAAGGCTTCAGTTTTTCACCATTAATTATGATAATAGCTGAGAGTTTGTCATATATGGTCTTTATTATGTTAAGGTAGTTTCCTTATATACCCATTTTATTAAGTGTTTTAATCATAAATGGATGTTGTATCTTGTCAAATGTTTTTTCTGCATCTATTGGTATAATCATATGATCTTTATTTTTTATTTTGTTTATGTGGTATATCACATTGATCGGTTTGTGTATCTTGAACCATCCTTATATTCCTGGAGTGAACCCCACTTGATCATAGTGTATAATCTTTTTAATGCATTGTTGTATTTGATTTACTAGAATTTCGTTTAGGATTTTTACATCTGTATTCATCAGAGATTTTGATCTGTGTAATTTTCTTTTTTGTGTGTTATCCTTACCAGGTTTTGGTATCAGAGTAATGTTGGCCTCATAAAATAAATTAGAAAGTATTGTCTCTTCTTTAATTTTTTTGGAAGGGTTTGAAGAGCACAGGTGTTAGATCCTCTTTGAATGTTTGATAGAATTCACTAACGAAGCCACCTTGTCATGGACTTTTGCTTTTGAGAAGGTTTTGGATGACTGATTCAATTTCCTTACTGTTGATCAGTCTAGTTCTTCATNAATATTATAAAACTACTAGGAGAAAAATAAGTATATAGTTATAGTCTCTTGAAGAACATTTTAATTATACAAAAAGCAAACACCATAAAGGAAAAATAAATCAACTATAACACATATTTTTGAAAAGTTCTCTCCGTTAAAATGCAAATAATCAATGAGCCAAAACCTATGTGTGATATTTCAATCCCTACCATAGGCAATTCCAAAGGTTTCAGGGGGTAACGTGGCACTCCACACACCAGACTTGGTACACAGACAATGCATTACAGCCTCTGAAAGAAGTTGCAGTCAAGGACTTAGACTCCCTTGGTTGGCCACGTTTCTCCTGGACCTTACATTCCAGAGGTCAAAAGTCAGTCATCATCTAAAACAATCTGCAAATTGCAAACGTGCTATAGAAGAGAATTTCAAGTGTTGAGAGGCCATGGTAGAGGTTGTTCCAAGACGGGGAAATCAGGTAATTTTGCTCTGAGGGCACCTTCCCCTAAGGAACTTAACATGTCAGAGTAAACAAGGGGAAGAGAGGAGGAAAGACCATGCTGGGCAATAAGGACAGAATATACGAAGGCCTTGTGTTGGGAGGGGGCATGCAGGAGACCAATGGAGGGTCAGTTGATATTCTTGAGCACAGGGGAAGTGGAGTAGATTTCAGCAAGTACAGGATGGCGCTCAGGAGATAGTTGCCAAATTGTGTTGCTAAAAAGGAGGCAATACGATATGGTCAGAAAGGATAGAGCAAAAGTCCCAGCATTTCCCAGTAGGTAAAAATTTAGGATCAGTTTTGACTGGCCATTTGAGATACCTGTATTCAAAAGACCATAAAAGGATAAAGAAATCAGCTCCACATGCATTTCCCATAATACCTTATGGACTCCTGCTGCTCTGAATCAGCATCTCAATGATCGGATTCCATTGGTTTACTGTAGTTTCCCCTTATTCATGGTTTCACTTTCTGAAGTTTCAGTTACCCATGGTCAACAGCAGTCCAAAAATATTAAGTGGAAAATTCCAGAAATNGTTGTTTTTGGCTACCTCTTCTGTCTGAAGAACTGGAATAGCAGTAACATCTATCTTTTTAACCTCTCTATCTCTGACTTAGCTTTTTTGTGCACCCTTCCCATACTGATGGGAAGCTATGCCCACGGAACATGGACAAATGGGAAGGTGCTCTGCATCACCAACCGATACATGCTTCACGCCAACCTCTACACCAGCATTCTTTTCCTCACTTTCATCAGCATTGATCGGTACCTGCTTATGAAGCATCCTTTCCGAGAACACCTTCTGCAAAAGAAAGAGTTTGCGGTTTTCATCTCTTTGGCCATTTGGGTTTTAGTAACCTTAGAGTTACTGCCCATGCTTCTTTTTATAAATTTTGATAGTGGGCGTAATTACACCCAATGTAGTGATTATGCAAGTTCTGGTGACCCCAAGTACAGTCTCATTTATAGCATATGTCTAACCTTCTTGGGATTCCTCATTCCTCTTTTTGTGATCTGCTTCTTTTATTTCAAGATTGCTCTCTTCCTAAAGCAGAGGATTAGACAGCTGGCTACCACTTTGCCCCTTGAAAAGCCTCTCAACTTAGTCATATGGGCGGTTGTGATCTTCTCCGTGCTCTTCACTCCTTACCACGTCATGCGCAATGTGAGGATCGCTTCACGCCTGCAGGCCTGGAAGCAGCCCCCGTGCGCGCCGGTCATCATCCGCTCCATCTACGTTGTGACTCGGCCTTTGGCCTTTCTGAACAGTGTCATCAATCCTGTCTTCTATTTCCTTATGGGAGATCACTTCAGGGAGATGTTGGTGAATAAACTGAGGCACCACTTCAAGTCTCTTACAACCTTTAGAAGAAGATAAGCTAATGGACTGGTGTTTGCATTCAGGGAAAAGTGAGGTGCAGGACAAACAGATTGTTTTACACATGCAGTTGTAGGCCAGTTGGGGTTTGACTAACTCATAGACGTAAACCCGACAGGATCATCGACCTGACCTTTATTTAAAGACACGGTGTACCCAGAGTACGTGAAAAAAAAAAAATGAGGAGAATGCATTGGTTTGGTCTCCTAAGAATTCAAAGAAGTTGGACTAGCACAAATGTTTGGATGTGTAAATCCGAAATCCTAGGTGTTACCAAACCTTCTCAATTGGTGTAAGAGGAATAGAAGATAGATAAAAGCAGCAAGTTTGTCTGCATTTAATCATTGGCCGGATTGTAAAAAGAAATTGTTTTGGCAACATTCTCTATATTATGCTAATTCATAAAAATCCTATAACTTTATGTGAAAATTGAAGAGCAAATTAGACATTCGTTACTAAATATTTTTGTTAGAAGTTGTGCTCTTCAGCAAATTTAAAGTAAACAGTAACAATAATGAACAAGACACCAATATAACAAGTTCAAGGATTTCTTTTT